TGAATTAGCTGAGAAATTAAAATACCTCATGGTCTAAGAAACTAAAATGTGAAAGGGAATCACACAATAAGCAATGTGTTTCTAAGTATTTCATGACAGTATTTTTAAAATATCAAAATATATTTTAAATTACTTCAAAACGGGAATAAAGGATCTGAGGAAAGAACTTCATTAAAAGAATGAGATTAAAATTTTAATCAACCTTTTATTTTTCTTTATTATTACTCAATCTATCATATACCAAAGGTTTCAAACTAAATATTTTCTAGATACTCGCTCAGTCACTGCCATGGAGTCAGGAGCCGACTCACAGCTGACCCTCCAGTGGTTTTTCAGAGGCTGTAAACTGCATAGGAGGAGACAGCTCATCTTTCTCCTGTGGTTTCAAAATCACTACCTTTTGATTGGCAGTGTAACTCCTTACCCACTAGGTCACTAGAATTCCCAAAGATAATCAATTATGAACTCAGTAATAATTAATGACTGTCCTATTTAGTAATGGAAATTAGCCAGCAAAGATCCACATATTTAATGGTGGTAATAAGAAGGAGTGGCATCCACTTCCTAAACAACATGCCTCTAGAAACTGTGTGAACTTTGATAAATGTCAATAGCTACACAAAGGCTTCAGGCCTTTTGTTCATAGCATCACTAGTCGTGCTCCACTTGATGACAATCAACAACTTCTTATCAAATCCAGAACCAAATCCATTGTGGTAGAGTAAATTCCAAACTACAGTAATCCTCCATCAAGTTTCTGATGCTGGACATCTCTACTGCAGAGGCCTGAACTTAGTACCACTCAACTTTAAACATGAACAAGCCCTCAGTTCAACAGTTACTCGAAATAAAAGGACTACTTTTAATTATTGAGAGCAATTAAAAATACATATGCTAATAGTTTGTATAGAAAGTGTAATTACTATTTTATTATAATAAAATTTGTGCTGGCACAAGTGAAAAAAATTTAGTTTAAAAAAATGAAATTTCAAAGAAACTTAATTAAAAGACAATTCCAATTATTCTATTAATTTCTAAATAGTGACTGAAGGAAAAAAGCTCACTAAAATGTAATACTGAAGGGAGTAGTGGTCAGCTTTGTCAACTTTGTTCTGACACATAGACAGAAGAAATACTGCTCAATCTTGCATCACCCTCACAATTCTTGCCATGCTCGGAGCCCATAGTCACTGTTTCTATTCATCTTGTTGAAGATCTTCCAGCTTTTAGCTAACCCTCTGTTTTACCTAGCATGATATCCTTTTCTAGGGTTTGGTCCTCCTGATAACTTGTGTAAAGTACTTAAGATAAAGTCTTGCCAATTTCCCTTCTTAGGATCATTCTACCTGTAGTTCTTCCAAGATAGACTGATTGCTCTTCTGGCAATCCTCAGTCTGTTCAATCCACAGTCTGTTCTTTGTGAGGACTGTCATTGAAAGCAATCAATTATTTGCAGTCTTCCTTATTCAATGTTCAACTTTCACAAGCACAAAGCTAATGAAAATATCATGGCTTACGTCAAGTACACTTAGTTCTCAAAGTGACACATTTCTTTTTTAACACTATAAAGGGTTCTTTTGCAGACCTGTCTAGTGCAATATGCCTTTTCATTACTTCACTGCTTTCATGGGCACTGATTGTACTTTCAAGTAGAATTAAATCCTTGGTAACGCCAGTATTTTCTCCATTTATTATAACATGATTTATGGTTCAGTTATGAGTATCTGTCTTTTCTTTATATTGAAGTATAATCCATATTGAAGGCTATTAGTCTTTGAACTTCATAAATCAGAAAGTGCTTCACATCCTCCTCCGTTTCAGCAAACAAGAATACTGAAGCATACTGAAGGTTGTCCATGAGACTTCTTCCAGTCCTGATCTGTGTTCTCTTTCATAGTCTAGCTTCTTGGATTATTTGCTCAGCATACAGACCCAATAAATGTAGTAAAAGAATACCCTTACTCAACTTTTCTGTCTAGAAATCACATTGTTATAATTTGTCCTGTTCAAAAGATTGTCTCTTGATCTGTATACAGGTTGTACCTGTGATCATGTTTCCACACGCACACAATTAGGCATTCAGAAATTTCCATTCTTCACAATGTTATCCATAATTTGTTAAGAATCAGAAAGTCAAAAGCCCTTGCCTAGTCAATAAAAGCACAGGCAAAGATCTTTCTAGTATTCTTTGCTTTCAGCCAAGAGTCATGTGATATTAGCAATAATATCCTTAATTTCATGTCCTTTTCTGAATATGGCTTGAAAATGTTACTTGTATATGACATTAGTGATACAGTGAAGGGAGTGGAGCTTTGAATTTATAAACTTGACCTCATTGAAATAAGAATAAGAAATTAAAAGTAGGAAAGAAAGAACAATTTAAAAATAAATAACCAGGGTAGAAGAACGTTGCTTTAGTACTTAGAGGCAATAGAAGGAATTCATGTTTGAAACAGAGTTTTTAAAAAAAATATAGTTCATTCATAGTTCATTCATCAGTAGTAAAATTTATGCTAAGAGTTAAAAACTACTATAAAAATGACATCATGGTTGGGGTGAGACTGAAAAAAAACAGATAAATAAGTATATTGCATTGAAACAGATAGGGGAGAGAACAGTTTAAAAGTGATTTATGATTGGGTATTATGGTTATGACAAGAGTAAAGAATGAAGACTGCATAGTGGAGGGGCGGGGATTGGGGGAAGATTGTATACCAATGAAGGAATTTTTCTTTCACTTTTCAAAGAGAAGAGCTAACTGGCAGGGGAGGAGGGATGGGCAGGGAGAAAAATTTAGCAATGAATGAATGGAAATCCAAAATCTCTGTAACTGTTCATTAAAATTAATAAAATAAAATTTTAAAAAATTAATGCAACGTGACAAAAGAAAGAAACTTTTAATAGAAAGCCTTAACTCAAATAGAGAAGTATCTCATTTTGAAAGCCTAAAAACTTTTTTAAAAATCAATTTTTTATCTTTGAATTCCTAATCACTATTAGGCAAATAAAACCATGACTCAACAATAGCTAACAGCATAATCATTTATATAATCAACCTCATTTTGTAGGATTATGACAGTAATAACTATAACTTCCACTAAAAATGTCACATTTACTTTACTTTTTATTGTATCATGATACATAAAAGCATCTTATTCACTAAGAATCCTACAAGAAAGTTATATAGACAACAGATATTAATAGCCTATAAATCTCTTAATAGCATTATAATCATGATAACAATAATGTACAAATTATATACATACTGTAACACAGTCACATATTTTATATATAAATGTTAACAAAGATACATATTTATTTGGTTTTGTCTTATTAGAGATCAATTTCGTTACTGCTAAATTTGTATTATTATAGTACTGACAATTTCATAATTAAGCTTTAATTTATCATTTCTTCTGTAAATTATTTTCTCCATATTTAAAACAGTTCATTATTTACTCCATATTTAAAGCCTTTGATCTATTTAAATCTTACCTCAATCCATGAGCTACTCAGCATACTATGAAAATATTCTAGGAGGGGAAAAAGAAAGTTCAATAAGAATTGTGAAACAATTATTTAAAATTAAATTAAAGATAAAGAGTATACGTACCAAGTCTGGCACAAAGAACACATTTATGACAAGGAAATTCTTTCCCATCCATTGATTTCATGGTTACATCACAAAGAAATGAACTGTAAGAAAAATGCTCGTTCAAGCAAGTGTAATTTTCTTACAAATTGATCATATAAGAAAATCTACATAATTTGGCATAACTTCAGATTTTCTATTAGTTAAAGGCATCAGAGAATTAAAAACTTGTATATGTTGTTGTTGTTCTTATGTGCCGTCGAGTCGCTTGCGACTCATAGTGACCCTATGTACAACAGCCCTAAACTCTGCTCTGTCCTGTGCCAATCGCACCATCTCTGATACACCCATCCAGATTACCCCAGTCACTGAATCAACCCACCTCATAGAGGGCCCTCCCCTCCTGCACCGTCCCTCCACCCTACCAAGCATGATGTCCTGTTCCAAGGACCTTTCCCTCCTTACAACATGTCCAAAGTATGCTAGACGGAGCCTCAAAATCCTTGCCTCCAAGGAGCTGCCTGGTTTAACACTTTCCTGGATGAATCTGTTTTCAAAGCAGTCCATGGTACCCTCAATACTGTTCTCCAGCACCAAAGCTCAAGGGCATCAATTCTCCTTCCATCCTCCTTAGTCATTGTCCAACTCTCTGATGCATAACAAGTGACTGCAAAGACCATGGCCTGTATCAAATGCACCTTAGTCTCCAGAGAGACACCATTGCTTTTCAGTACTTTGGAGAGGTCCCTAACAGTAGACACATGCAAATAATTATCTCCCTTCATTTTAGGGAAGAATAACAAGGGTCTTACAATAAAGCTAGTATTTGAAAAGGGAACTAAATATAGAATAATGTTCAAATAAATCTTTATTGTGATTTTCCTCTTTTATTCAAGGACAGGTGTTAATAATATAAGTAACATCACAGTAAAAGATGTTTATTTCATAAACTTATGCAACCTAGTTGGTATCAGGTACAACATAAATACCTCAAATTTCTATCTCAAAAATTTTTCATCTAAAAATAAAATTTATTCCTAACTTACCATTTTTTCTGATTTAGCTTTGGTTTATTACCAGTTTTCTTGACAATTACATTGATTTTTTCATTTTCATATCTTACTCCATCTAACCTATCAAAAATAAATAAAAATGAACAATCGGTAGACAGTACATTCCTTTCTTCTACTAAAGCAGAAATAACAAAATTTGAACAAATTAAATTACATGTGAACCTAATTATACAGATAATTTACCCCCAAAATCTCTTGGCCTGGAATCAACTCTGGGTCACAATGATAGTGTCATAACAGATTTCATGGCTTTTCAATTATTGTCATTTTACCGAGTATCATCTAAACTTTCACTCATATTGCCAATATGTAAACTTGAATCCTAACCATTTGGTTAGTTGTTATATACTATCAAGTCAGAACTGACTTAAAGCTGACCTTCCAGCAGGTCTTCAGAGGTAGTAAACTGCCCAGGAGAACACTGTCCATTTTTCTCTCATGGAGCATCTGATAAATCTGAGTGATCTGTCTTTCGGTTGGCAGCACAATTCCTTACCACTAGGCCTCCAGAGTCTCCTTCTTTGGTTATTAGATAAGGACAAATCATTTGTACAACTTGTATCTCAAAAAATCCCATTCCATGATAAAGAAATATCACAACCTCTTCTTACTCTCAGGGAGGCTCTGGCAGCTTAGTGGTAAGGAACTGAGCTGCCAACACAAAAGCACACAGTTTGAATCCATCAGTTGCTCTGCAGGAGAAAGATGGCTGATCTCCTCCAATGTGAACACAGTGCCTCTGAAAACGTGCTGGAGGGTCAGCTATGAGTTGGCCCTTACTCCATGGTACATAACACCACCAACAAATTAGAATTTGAAGCAAGTGGCTCAAAATCAGAAAAGATGTATGCCAGGGATGCTATACCTTTTCAATATATATGAGGAACAGATCATCCGGAGGCTGGGCTCTATGAGGAGGAATACGGCATCAGGGTTGGAGGAAGACTCACCAACCTGTGTTATGAAGATGACACAATCCTGCTTGCCAAAACTAATGAGGACCAGAGGCAGTTGCAGCAGAAGAATTGCAGCCTTCAACATGGACTGAAGCCCAACATCAAGAAAACAAAGATTCTCAACACTGGGCCAACTGGCTACATGATGACAGACGATGAACAGATTGATACTGTTAGCAGCTTCAGTATGCTTGGCTCCACAATCAACACTCTTGGTACCAGCAGTCAAGAAATAAAAAGACTAATTTCATTTGGAAAATACGCTGTCAGGGACCTCTCCAGAGTAGCAAAGAGCAATGCTGTCAGTCTAGAAACTAAGGTGGCCCTGATCCAGGCAATGGTCTTTGCAATTATTTGCTATGCATCAGAGACATGGAAATTGACTAAAGATGATAGAAGAATTGATGCCTTTGAATTGCGGTGCTGCAGAAGTGTATTAAATATACCATGGACTGCTAAGAAAACAAAGAGGTCTGTCCTGAAGATAGTGAAACCAGGCTGTTACTTGGAGCCAAGAATTTTGAAGCTCCGTCTGACATACTTTGGGAATGTCCTTAAGAGAAGGCCATCGTGCTTGGAAGGGTAGAGGGACAGTGCAAGAGAGGAAGACCCTCGATGAGATGGATTGACTCAGTGAATGGGGTAATGGGGGTAGGTGTGTCAGAGACAATGAAATTGGCTTAAGCTAGAACAAGGTTTAGAGCTGTTGTACATTGGGTTGCAATGAGTCACTGAGGCCTTGATGGCACAAAAACATCATTAGGACAAAAATAAAATTAAAATTGTGGTGTAAAACAGTCTTCATTGTTTTTAAATATATACTTCTATAAACATTGCTGCTGCTCTCACCATACCATTAAATTCATACTGCTAAAATAGTACAGCAAATATTAAGTTTTCGATTTAAAAACAGTTTGAAGGCCTTTTTCACCATGACTTTGCTTTTATTTTTGTCATAAAAATATTTAATGTATTTTGAATTCTAAGTATAAGGAGAGAGCATGATATACATTTCCCTTGCTCCCAATCCACAACTAAGATTATTTCACCATAAGCAACATATGCTGTTATTGTTTGGTACCGTCAAGTACAATCGATAGCAACTCTAACAACAGAACTGAATCCTGTTCTTTCATGTGCCATCCTCACACTTTCTGATACATTTGAGACCACTGGGACAGTCACTCTGTCAATCCATCTAGTTGAAGGTCTTCTGTCCTCTTTTGTCGACTCTCCTCCTTTCCAAGCATGGTATCCCTCTCCAAGGAATAGCTTCTCCTAACAACATGCCCAAAGTATTAAGAAAAAGCTTTATCACCTTGTCCTCAAAGGAACACTCTGGTTCTATCTTCTCCAAGACATATGTATTTGTTCTTTGCCCATCCATGGAATACTCAGTGCACTTCAGCAACAACACTGCTTGTTCTGTCATCTTTATTAAATGTCTAGCTCTCAGATGCCTAGTAGTAAGTGACTGAAAAGACTATGGGTTGAATCAGGCACACTTCAGTCCTGAAAGTGACTCACTGCTCAACATTTTGGGGCGGTTTCTGACTGCAGACTTTCCCAGTACAACACATCTCCTGATCTCCTGACTGCTGGTAACAAGGTGTTGACTGTGGATATGAGTAAGATTAAATCATTGACAACTTGATTCTTTTCTCCATCTATCATGCATGATATTGCCTATCAGTGTAGTGATAAGAATTTTTGTTTTCTTGACACTGAGATGTAATCCATATTGAAGGCTATATGCTTTGGTCCTCTGCAACAAATGGTTCGCGCTCTCCTCACTTTCAGTAAGCAAGGTTGTGTAATCTCCACAACACAGGTTACTACTGATGAGACTTCCTCTGTTCCTGATGCCACATTCTTCTCTACAGAGTCCAGCTTCTTACAAATTTGCTCAGCATACAGACTGAATAGATATGGAGGAGGATACAACCCTGAAACACACTATTCTTAATTTTAAACCATGTAGTAGTTTAAAAGCAACATAAATATCTTTTTCAAAAGAAAGTTTCAAATCACATTTGATTAATAACGTGACAAATACTATGTCAGAAATTTTACACTTATGAAGGAGTCCTGGTTGCGCAGTTGCTAAAATACTTGATTGCTCACAGCAAGGCTGGTCATTCAAACCTATCAGCTGCTACATGGGACAAAGTCTGCTTCTGTAAAGATTTACAACTCTGTCCTACAGGGTCACTAAGAATCAAAAGTGACTTGACAGGAGTGGGACTGGGTGTTTTTCAGGGAGAGGCAGGTGTATGACAGAAGTAAAACAACAATATGAGGTCAACATTATCCCTACCACTTTATAAGTAAAGAAGCTCAAAGAAATCTGGCCTCTAGTATATAATAGTAAAGGGAGCTCTGATGGCATAGTTTACAAGCAAATGCACTATAAAACCAAAGGTCAGACCTTAACCAGTGACTGCTGCACAGGAAAAAAATGAGCAATCTTCTCCCATGCAATTTACAGTCTTGAAAAATCACTGAAGGGTCAGCTATGAGTTGGCTTCAACTTGACAGTAATCAGTGAGTGTAACAATAAAGCTAAGAGACATGCATAATATTTGTCTAATTCCAAAGATAATAAGTGTCCTTTTGAGTACAACATTATCCCATATCCCTGCTCTACATATCTCATAGAGTTCAAGCCCACCAACAGTCTTCCCATATTTTAATTCCTTAATCAAATGAGACACATCTGTTCTTCCCTTAACAAGGGAAATGGGTAAAAGGAGGTGAAGAAGAGGAAACTAGCAAAGAAAAAAAATCTAGAATGAATCTATAAAGAAGAATGGATTATTAAGAAGGAATCATACCTACTACTCAAATTATTGAGGCCAAATTTCTTTGCAACATTTTGCAACATTCTTACAGGATCATCTTCTCCAACAACTTTGCCCTTTTTAGCAGATTTAAGTTTTCTTTTCTGCTTTTCACTAATTGTTTGAGCTTGATTGCTTTTATAAACTTCAAATGCTGACTTGTGATTATTATCTTCATGACAATTCATTTTATTCAAATGAGAATTTGGGGTGCTTTGATATTCTTCTGGTTTTTTGCTTAAATGTACTCTTGGTTTGTAACCATGAGTTAAAAAGTCACAAGTGTCTGTGTATATAAATTGTAAAAGGTATTCAAACAAGTCAGGATGAACTTTCTCTATCACAAAGAGATGGCATCCGGCACCATCTTCATCTTTCCGGTAAACATCTGCAAAGTCTAAAGCAGAACCATCTGAAAGAAAGAGTTTCTGAAAAAAGTCAGAACGAACTGCCAAAATATATTTATGTGCAGGGAAGAGTCTATTGCCAACTTGAAATGTCACATCATGGATGTTGTCCATTTCATCTGTCTCCTTCAACAGTTTGCCAAACTCTTCTAAAAGGGATGATGAGGACACAACTGGAATTTCATAAAGGCTGAAAACAAAACAAAAATAATTTTCACTTTCAAACAAATGTAAAGAATACATTCTCAGCTGATTCTATGAAAATGCAATGCCTATTTTATTCATTATATACAGAAAAAAATTTTGATTTGGCAGTTCCAACACATAAAATATTACTAAGTCTAGCCACTATATCGCATTTTCCTTTCTTCTATTTCCTTTTATATTTACACTTTCGTCTCTTAAATTAAAATGACAAAGTTTCTCTGAAAGAAATATTCTCTATTTCTGCAAAAACAACATAATTTAGAATATATATTTGAATACATATTCCACAGTAATTTTTAAATTATTAAAAATATAACTAAACACATGAAAAAAGAGTAGAGATATTCTTCTCCTTTTTTATATGTATTTTATAAATTAATATTATTTTTAACATATCAAAACAAATACATGGGGATTACTTAAAGTCTTTGCTTTTGGAGTATATCAGAAATTTAGGAAGTGGTAAGGAGTTCTGCTGTCAACTCAATGGCATAAGGTTTGAACCAACCAACTGATCTGCAGAATAAAGGTGGGCAATCTCCAGTGCCATTTACAGCCGCTGAAAATCCACTCGAAGGCCTGCTATGAGTCAAAATGCTGACTTGATGGCACATAACAACAATAAAGATAAATATTCACACTGGTACCATCAATCTCTAACCCTGGTTCTTTAATTATTGTGCAGTGCGATAATATCTTCCCAATCTACAATACATCCTTCCCTGTACGGAGAGCAACCTTCTTGGTTGAGACTGAGGGGTTTCCTGACACAGTCCAGGTAAAACAGATAAATGACAGCACTACTTTTAACACTTTTTCCTTCAGGACTAGTACTACTATTTTAATCTCTTTTCTCTCTACCAAAATGACTTAAGGTATGTGTGGTGGAATTCACAACGCACATCAACGACTCCACACTATCTCTTATCAACTATAATATTGTTCAAGAGTTTTTACAAAACAAGAAACATTATATATATATACACACACATATATATCACATTTCTCAGACTAAGAAAGTCTAGATTACATTATAAGATACTTAAAACGTAAAACTGTATGTGTGGACACACCTTTGTGGGTATATGTATGCATATATGTGTGTGTGTGTGTGTGTGTGTATATATATACATACAAATACATACACATAAAAACAAAAGGAGGAGGCAAAAACACACAGACACACCCATACAAAACAAAACCAACTAAAGGGAAATTCACCATTCCCAGTATAATAATTTTCACCTTTGTGTTATCTTGGTAAGATGATCATAGGTCTAATATCTCTGTAAGACTTCGCAGCGTCTCTTTAATTTGAACCAGAAGCTACCAGAAACAGAAGAAAACCTATTGACTGTTCTTTTTAAAATGGAAAATAAAATTCACCATATACAAATTATACCTTGTTTTGGGATCTGACTGCAGGATTGCAAAGTTGCATCCACTCGGATCTGTGCTGACACCAACAGCTCTATGGGCAAATATAAGTTTCTCAAGTCGAATTCTTTCATATATGCTATTTATTTCAGATACACAAGACACATCTGATGAGGAATTACGAAAGTTTGATAAAATCTCTGCTAAAAAGAGAAAAATGGACATCAGTTAATGAAAGCTTTACTGAAACAATAAAGTTATTTAGGAATTAATGAAACAGAAAGTCTACTGTTACAATCTGGAGATACCTTTTATATGCATTAAGTTCTTTTGAGTAACTACATCATTTCATTTTGAACCATGTATACTATTTTTATTATATAAGACATTTTGGGTGGGCCAATATTCAATTATGCATAATTTCATCCCTTTCAACAAATACATCTTAATACTTCTGCTAAAGTGACCTTTCTAAAAAGCAAACCTAGCATCACGCTACCTTTTAAAATTATTGAAATTATATTATGATATGCTTGCTTGCTTACTTCTTCCCTCTCTTCTTCCTTCCCCTTCCATTCTTTTAGCAAATATGTGAGTGACACACTCTACTACGGCAATAACCTGACCATCAGTGTATCCCCAGTGACAGAGAAACAAACAGAATAAGCATGCTTCTCCTCCATGGAGTACACAATTTAGCAGGAAAGTAGAAATCAAACAAATATTATATTATTGCAAGTGAGATAAAAGTTATGAAAGAGAAACAGAATGCTTCCATGTAGAAATGAAATTTTTACATAAAGAAATAAAAATAATAAGGTAGGTAAGAAGAGAAAGAAGGCATTTACAAAGTTACTCTAAGAGTTGCAGTAATCAAACTAGGGAAAAACAGATTTCAGAACTATCTGAGGCAGAAGTGACACATTTTGGTGACTGACTAAATGCAGAGAGAACATGAGAGATTGAAGATAATTATTAGAAAAGACATGGAAAATGATGATCATGACTTCAACTTTATAGTTTGACAGCATTAAATGTGACTAAGGGTGTTCTGGCAGCACAGTCCATAGGGAATTGTACTCCAAACTCAAAAGTAACACTTTTCTGGCAGTTCAAAACTATCAGTTGCTCCAATCTCTCTCCATTAATTTATAGCCTCCTGAAAACTCACTGTTTAATAGCTGTTAATAGACCTTAGTCTATTATGAGTCAGTTCAGACTTGTTGGCAATAAACAAAAGAGAGAGAAGTAGGACTAAGACACTATTCTGAAAAATTAGCACATTTACAGGTTCAGCCTACATTCTGTTTACTCTCAAATTCACTCTCTTTCAGCTATAGGGGGCTTTACTAATCTTATCCCAGACACTCAATTATTCCAATATAAAAGCTCTCATAGATTTTATGCCTATGTTAGTATTTCTCCAGTAAGCTATAAATATTTATCTACATATTTTATTTGTTCCTACAAGCTAATATAAGTGCCCAAGACTAACATCTTACATATTTTTATATCATTAAAATTTATCCTTATATTTGGCATATAGTAAACATAGCTTAAATGCTTACAGACTTAAGTAATACATAAAGAAATAAAATCAAGTTATCTAAAAATAATTGTAGTTTTATTATTTTAAAAAATATATTTATAATCTTCACAGTAATTACATACATAAAAATTTAAGCAAACTAATATATTTATTCATCAACATAATGAATTAATTCCATGTTTTAGGAAATATATCAAATAGTAAAGACCTCGTGGCACAGTTACAAATCCTTTCTCTAGGAGACAGTTGTTAAATTAATTACAAAGACAATAAATATATAATAACAAGTAAAAAATATGAAAATACAAAGAGAATTTGATATGAAAAGTGAAACAGTAACTCAGGTTAAACAGTGAGACATATCTGAGAAAGTGTAAAGCTAAGATGTAAAACAGAGAAAGTCATGGAACTTATTATATAGCACAAGACTGAAAAATTTTAGAATGTTAATTGTGACCGAAGAGTGGTAAATACAAAGGAGGGAACTCAAGATGAGATTAGACATCAACAGGGCTCAGAGAAGAGGGCCCTTCTATGGCGTGCTTAAGAAAGGAGTTAAGTCATGTAGCAGTCTTTAGAGACACAAGTCCTGGAGTCAGATTTTTAAAAGCTCACTCTAGTAACTAGTTGAGAATTAATCAAAAGGGATAAGAAGGGAAATAAAGTAATTTGTTTGCATATTTGATAATAAGATAGGAGCAATAAAGATGTGAGAGTGTAAATGAATTCTAGTTATTCCAAAAGAAAATAATTTTTTAAAAATCTATGGATCAAAGAAAAATGCTGTTGAGCCATGTTAAAATAATACAAATATTTAAACTTATAGTCAAATAATTAAGAATAAACTATATTACAAATAATTTCAATATGGTACCATAATTAAATTTATTCTATTTATCGAGTTAAATAAGCCTTGACTCTAATTATTCATCAATTATTTAATAAAACTACTTGTACTTTTTATATTTTTCAATCACCCTGAAAACTTATTCTTCTCTTTTTTCCTCTAAGTTATAAGCTATATATCTTAAAGTTCCAATTTTGCATGTTGTTGTTGTT